TGCGCACATCTTTTACGGACTGGACAAATTTTTTTAGGTGCCGTTGAAGAATCCCTATCCTTTGGATACCCCCTATTAGGAGAAGCAGGAGTGACAGTTATGCCCGCGAAGCTGCGTACAACCCTGGTTATCGTCCATCGGGTTATTCAATATATCATAACCGTCAGCGCCACCGATTGATAAGCTTGGACGCTATTACACAAAACCCCGACGATGCACTAACGCTAACCGCCTTCACAAGCACGTTAGACAGACACTGCCGCTTTTTACAATAGTCACTGGGAGGCAAAACTGTAGGACTTGTTTGTACTAGCTAACGAAGGACGACTATCGTTGTTGGAAATTGTCAAACGAATCAAAAACTACCGCCGCACACCATCTTCACCGCTTCTTAATGGCGTGATAATGGCTGAATCAATGGTGATAACGCGGCGCTCTTTGCTGACCATCTGGCTGCTTGCTTGTAGCTTCGAATACCTTTTCATGCGAAGGCAAAACACCGCGAGAGCCTCAACCATCGATGAGGACTCATTGCACGGCCAAAGAACTCGCTAATACACCCTCTGCGCTATCACGATGGAATGCACTCGGTCTTGACGGCATTACTAACGAGATGCTAAAAAAGTTGACGCAGGTGGCGATAAATATCTTTTGTGTATATAGAATTCTGCAATGTATCTTGGTGCCTTCTCAAGACAATGGAAAAAAAGTCAGTTTTGCGAAGCTCCCACCAGGCAGTATCTTCCCATTAGCCTGATTCCGAAAGTAGGTAAAACTGTGGGGGCTGCTCTACTACGTCGACTGAAAGAGTTTGTAGAAATACACAAAAAAAGCTTCCAGAATTTCAATTTTGAATTTTGAAGAGGCCATCGACAACGCAACAACTTCTGCGCTTTGTTGAGTAGACAACTCGAAACCTCAATCTTATTAAATCGATAAACATCATCTTTTTCGACGTTACAAAAGTTTTTGACCGCAGTAAGGCGCGAGGGGTTCTCCTACGCAAACTATGGAAAGTAGGTACTCCTTAATCTTCTACAAATATACTTGCGTCTTTTCTATGCGGAAGCGCCTTCCGAGTGAGAGTTGACACTGCGCTTGGTTATACTGTCGACTGACAGCCGGTGTTCCACAAAGCTCTCTGCTCTCAACCTGCTCATCGCGCTGCGAATTCTCACTTCCGTATCCCACTCTACGGCGAGACCTTGCAGTTTACATCCTCTAAGGTCCCACAACGGTAACCATTAAAGCAGGAAAAGCAAAGCAATCCTTATTTTAAGAAGATACCCACTGCCTTTAACGGTCGAAAGTGTCAAGATTTCAATTAGGCTGTCAGACCCAATATGGGCATCATCATCGATAAGTGACTGACTAGGTGGCAACACGTAGAGTTCGTTGGGGTTAAGGTCAATGCGGGGCCCACGCACTCTACTCACTGTTGCATCCAAAAAAGCACATTGTTCCTGCGTAATTAATGCACCTCTCTAAAGTGTGCGTTCGCCTAGTTATGGCCTACGCACCTGTGAATTGGACGTACGAATAACCATTAAATATTGCATTTCTGCTGACGCGATAAAACAAGTGGTCCTTGAACTAATGATTGGCGCGTTTGGAACGAATAATAAGCATCCAGAGCACCAGTGGACTCAAAAACTTACATATGAATCCTGAATTGCGCACACTTAAATGTTTGTGGCTCTCTACGCACATATATGTAACGCCGTTTGAAGAACCCCGGGACTAACCCACAGATTATTGATTTCCTTTGGGAATAATTGAAAAAATTTATATAATTTTGGTTAACTTTTCGGGAAGGCTATACTGCGAATTCATTAAAGTTCTATTTATTAAACAAAAGAAAAACTTACGGCAGCTATCAACAAGGTACAGGGTAGTATTTTAACTGCCAACGACTTGGTCAAGAAACTAATTGAGTAACCTCTTATTAGTCCTCCTATACATTCAATTGCTATTATAGTCCCGAAGGACCATGATGTCCTTTAAAACTAAAAATAGGTATATAATAGAAAAAACAAATTATCTAAACTAATATGTACTTGGAGCAAGAATGGAGTTGAAACACAACTAAGAGCTTAGAAAAAAGTGTAATTGAGACTAACTGAGTCAAAGCTATGCATAGGCGGGAATAGTATTTATGTTTAGGAGCACATAATAGCGATAGGACTTAGAAACTTAAACGAAAAACTTTGAATCTAAAAAAACTTAGAGAAAAGCGCTTTATCATTAAAAAATGTAACTGAATTAGGTTTATATTTTTAGGTGGTAAGCCTAAAATTTTAAGTTCTAGAAATGTAAAATTAGGGAATGCAATAGTCTTAGCTAGAGTCATTTTGATTAAGGAAACTAAAGCTGAAGCCCAAACGAGCTCTAAACATACACGAAATGAGAGACATAAATTTTTATATAAAAATAGTAATCCACAAAGAAATATAGCACAAAATGTCAAGAAAATATAGTGTCTGTTGATAGCTCTATAGCCATAAAGGTAGATAAAATCTTTTCGAGTGCTTGCTTTTTAATATTTGAAAGACTTTACCGGATGAAAGATGAGTAAGGCGCCTCGACATTGAAGGTGCGCGATGTCCCTACGATAGGCTTTACCCGCCACAGAACTAAACAGTGGCTACTAAGGTTGTTAGTGACTTCAAGTAGTTATAGTAAATAGTAAATAGACATTACTTTTACCCACTTGAGGCTATTCCGGTCAGCTCTTTTAGCTGCTCAAGTAGCTTTCTCTATGATAAGGTGATGAAGATTAGGAGTGTTATAAATTTGTGAAGTGAATACTTAACATCACTTAAAAAAATCCTTTCCTTGACACTAGTTACTTAGTTAGAACTCTATCAAATTTAACAAACTTAACTCCTCGAGCTGTCAAACAAGAGTAATTACATACTTAAATTTTTTGGTAGCGTTATAATTCTCCAACTCTAAACCTGATAATAACGAGCGCTTAAAGTGCATAATGAGGACGACAAGAGCGTGCACCTTCCAAGGCTCTTTAGATAACTTCATTCCTTGAAAGAAAATTATTCTGCTCGACTAGCCGTTCGTATATCTCAATGGTTCTTACCTCGGAAGACAATACCTAGTGACTACATCTTCTAGGAGTTTAAAAATATATTTTTTTTACGTAACAAACGCAATTTTTATAATAGTTAATTATACAGAAAAACACAAAGGCTCTTACGTATTTATTATTTAAGAAAACGTCACAAGTTATTATAACACAGGTTTAACAACTTTAAGTGTAATTCACAGTTGCCCAAAGCAAAATGCTAAATAAAATTTATTAAAATTTAATTGTCAAAAATTTAAATAAAAAAAAAGCAGACTATATAAGTATATATATAAATAGTTAATAATTTTTTACAAGGTTTTAGCAATTTTAACCCTATACTTCTCAATTTTTGTATTGCAAACTCTAATCTTGATAAGAAATTCTCAGTTCATTTATTTAAATCAAGTATTTTGGGTCTATCAACTTATCTAAAAGATGCTTAGAGAATTTCATAACATTTCTTCACAATTCACTAACAATTATTGGGACAAGTCTCTTATACATATTTCTCCGATTGTCTCTCTTTCTAGTTGTCCACGGATGCACCGTCATTATAGTGGACCATCCTAACTCTCCTCTCGTCCTCTTTCATGTAAGGATCCTTTCGCATAAATACCGGATAGTCTTATTTAACTTTTCCTAGTTAGAAATGAATACCAAACCGAAGAGGAGCTGAAGGATTTAAGAGTACCAATCCTTTTTTCTGTCAACTCTAATAACTTATTTAACATATTCAGTGTTTCTGCTTTATAATATCTCACTTCTGAATAAACACTGGCACTGACCTCAAATTTTGTATTAAAACGCATAGAAATAATTCTTTACAAAGAAAGGATAAACGTCTTTGAGTTGGACGTATTTCCCTTGTATAATTTTTAGAAAACTGGGAGCTGTACTTTTAAATACCCTGCTGTCTATCCAAATGCACCAAGTTTCTAACTTCCTATCATTGAACAATCTCGAGATATATTTTATTACATCACTAACTGGATCCCGAGATCTTAAACCTTATGCATATAGTTAAACCAAAAAAAAAGCAGAGATAATATTTTACATTCAATTAGCAAAAAATAAATTGACTTACAGGCCTTACCTGTTAGAGAGGTCTCATAAGTTACCCACAACTCATTTTCCGACTGAGGTGCTAATTACTAATACTTTACTATAAATGAGGTAACTTTTAACATTGATGGAGTTTCCTTTTTATAAAAAATTAAAAGAGAAATGACCAAGGGTTGCATTTTAGTTGAGGTCGCTTGCCCGGGTTGAACCCTAAATTCCTCTATTTTAACAGTTTCTGTGGTATAAGCCTGATTACACATTTGACAAAGGTTGCAAGCATAAAATTTGTTCATAAAAGTTTATTTATATTAAATAATAAAATAAGAATATTCAATTTACAAGGAAATAAGTTATTTATAAACTCAGCAACTAACCTAAGCTTATTAATATGAGGTCTCATCTTCTGGTAGGTATTCGTTACCACCTCAGTTAATTTGATGAGTAGCACGCCTGGGGGCTGTCCCTCTTAAACTTAATCGTTTAACCAATTTTCACTGATATCAGTAAAACCATGAAGTGCTTTAGGCAGCTGAGCCTTGAGGTGACAACCACCCTTTTTCTTGATGCAACTTGCCTTGCTCTAGCTTGCATTCTTCCTACTATATCCTGTATAACTAGTTTCCTTAATTATTAAAATTCCCTTTAACGTCGCCAATTATGCCAAATACACTCCGCTATGAATCTAGTATGCGCTCCTATCATCATTTTCATTGGATATTATCATGTTATATGCGCCGATGCATGGAAATTTTAATTTGCGTTTTTAGCGCTTAAACAGGTATTTAAGGCTTCCAACTTTAAGGTGAGGGAGCTGATTCTGTTTATCTTCTCTGTGAAGTGCCTGTCGCGTGTTTTCTCTTTAATTTGCTTTTCTTCTACCTGCTGTAGTTTCTACGTTCTGTTTTTTTCTACGGTATTTTCTCAACTTCTATTTCCGCCTGTGCACAGTTCTGGTATAGCTGCGTATTGGTTCCACTCATGCTCTAAGGTCTTAGCTCTGTAACTATTATTGTTAAAGTTTCCTTAGTTACTTTTTTCTTTTTTCTCCTCATTTATATTTTAACTCACCTTTGGGCACTTATTATCGCTAGAGAACCCTGCTATCTCAAGGAGCGTGACACTTCCTCTGTAGCGGCATGCATTGTCTGAGGTTGATGTTACTCAAGTTTTTGTAGAATCGTTCATCTCGTAATTGTTATCGCGATCAAAATTTTTAAGGTTATCGAAATGAGTCAGAACCGTTATTCTTTCAGAAATATAGGGCCTCATAAAATCATTCCCTATGCAGGTATCGTAATCTTATACCCACGGATAACTTGGAGCATTAGGATTCCAGGTGTCTCTGCGTATCTCATATAAAGGGGTCAAATATAATTTAAGAACGTAAAATAATTAAAAATTTACTCATTAAGTACCTCTCCACCATTTTACTGGCAGCGAGGTTGTCTTCATCGTTTACGTTGGTAAATCCATGAAGACCTACCAAAGTAGCGTTGACTTGCAAAGGGCTATATCGCAGCTTCAGGTTATGTTAAAAAAACCTTAAAAATACTGAAATATACCTTTTGGCCCCAATCACTATCTTATTATCATCGCTAAACAGTTTATCAGGTTTCAACGCTTAGACCTGTGCCTGGTAAGTTGCCACCAACTCCGCTTTTAAAAAATAAGGGCTCAATGAGAAAGTAATATAGTATCAGAAAGTAGCTTTAGTAGTAATCACATTGTCTTTCGCGTTTACATGCGAACGCCCACTTGGAGTGCATATGTTCGCGTCTGAATCAAGAAGGCAACCCTGATACAAATATCAGCGGAGTGCGGTTATTTGACTCCAGATATTCGCAGAATAACAGAGCTTTTTCCTTGTTTTTTATTTTATAATATGTAATTTATTAGTCCTATTACCCCAACTACTATATATATCCCTGAAGACTGGGGGCCTCACACAATTAATTGAGATAGTTGAATTAATATTATCTCATGGAGTTAAAAATTGTATTGATCGATGGCCAAAAGCGTGTTGCGAATTTCATTAATCATGTCAAGTTGATTTCCTAAGTTAGATGAGGCCCAGCCCGAGTTTTCCGTTATCTAATTTAATGTTTATAAAATTACTATAACATTATTTTATAGAACCTAACTTTGCATCTCTTGATTCGACATTTTTCACAACTGAGTCACGACGAGAAGTCAGGTGTCCCCCTCAAGCTATAGCTTGGTAATTTATATACTGAGTTTTAGAAATTGTTAAGATAACGGTCTGGTATGTACAATATTATTGTAAGTTACTAAGGTGGCTAACGCTAATGCGAGTCCCATTTTTTGTAATACTGTATAATTTTTATATTTTAATACTTTTATGCTTGATAGAAGAAAATTGTGTTTTTCTAAGCCCTAAAAATTTTAAGAAGTGGAGTTAAACTAGTTTCTCAATATTTTCGTGGTTTATCAATGCTTTCACATGGACAAGTACACTAAGATATTTTAGAACTAGTTAAATAAAATGAAGTACCCTTTATAACATTGAATCAGAAATAGCAGGCCTATTAAATATATTATGTCATTTAAACAACTTAAACAATTTACACTTCTAAATTTTTTTTTAAATTATAGGTTTCACCAAAAGATAAATTAAGTAGGTGGTTTAACAATTTTAAGATTTTAAACTCAAATTTTATGGGTATTGAATGTTAACACCTTATACTTTAATGACAAAAGTAATTAGTCAAATGAGAGTATTTATATAACTTTTCTTAATGCTACTTGTTGATAGAATGCAGTATATCGTTGTTACTTGATGAAAAATTTATTGTTAAATCTCTTACAGTATGCACTAAACTATTTCGCGGAGTGGGAACTAACAATAAGGCACTATCTTATATTATAAACGTACAACAATAATGTTTTTAATTACAATTAGATATTATACTCAATTCTTACTAAGTGGCGTGTTCTCAACCTACTTGAAATGGCTATTATATTATGTTGGAAAATACATAATGGCCAGTATTCGTGCTGAAATCCCTGCTTGAAGGATAAATCAGTTTGAGAAATTAAGGTCTTAAAAGATCAGCTGTGTTAAGTTAGTGCTAAAAAAATAGGCAGTTGGGGAATTTATAATGGAATATGTCTTCTCCTTCCAAGAGAGTAGTCATATAACCAATATTAGTCAATATTAGTTATCCTAATAGCACTAACGGTAATATGTAATAATATTGTGAATGTATATTGTACAATTTGAAACCAGTAATAGAAGCAACAACAAAAGTAACAATAGTAGTACCAGTGCTGAAATATATTAATATAATGTTAATATTGAAAACAACATTTATGATGGTAAGTTTAAGTTCCATTTATTATTATTAAAAACCAAAGTGAAGACCGAGTAATATCTAATCTTTAAAGGTAATAATTTTTCCATATTTCGCCCTAAAATTGTAATTTAAGAAAATCAGTGTTTCCTCTTCTTTTGAAGACGACTCCAAAAAAATTAGTGTGATAGCTAGATAAAAAGTGTTTAAAAATTTATCACATCGCGAGAAATCCATCTCTATTGCCCTAAGAATAATTGAATAAAATCTAAATTTACTTCCTATTTTTTAAAAAATAAAGGTTCATGTCCCAGAGTTTTCTAATGCGTTTTAAAAAAAAAATTAACTTTTACTATGGCCAAAGTTGTCTTTAGATTCTTTACTTGGCCTTGTTTGTTGTGTAGGGTGCTAATTATTTTACGGATTGTGGTGTGGTATATTATGTAGCGTGAAAGAAAAAATGTTAGATTTTCCACCACGCCAGGACAAAAAAATTATATATTTAAGGTATCAATAGCTTCGTCAGTAGAGCGTTTTAAACTCTCATTTCGTCGAGACTAACCTCAAAGAGTTGAGGCACCCGTTGCAAATGAGTACACAGACTCGACACCCCCCTTTACCCCTATAACAGATTAGTTTATTCGGGACCTTTATTAGTCACTAAGCTAGAATAGCTCAGCAATGGCCTGGAAAAGGTAAAAACGAGTTGTCGGTGGTATGCTGAGTTTAAACCTGGCGTACGGACACAATGGAGACTGAACACTCTGGGCGCACATATGAGGCAGTTACTCCAGAGAACTTCAAAAAAATCCTTAAATTGTCGTTGATAATTGTAAAGTAAAACTGCGTAAGTTAGCTGACTTCACAGAGATATTAATGGAACATGTGAGTTATATGTTGCACGAACACTTGAGCATGAAAAAACAACGGTACCGCGTTTGCTCACAATGAATCAAAACACCAACGTCTTGATAATTTGGACCCTGTTTAGAACTGTTAAAGCAGAATAAAATAAATTTCTTTTAATAAGGTATGTAACAATGGATGAAACCTGGATCCATCATTACGCCCCAGCGTCAATCGATAGTCAGCTGATGGAAGGCAAAGGGTCAAAGCCTCCCAGTTTTGGGCTACGCATGGTATAATATTAATTTATTACTACCTTGAGTAAGGAAAAACAACTATGAACTTGAAGGATTGAAAGAGGAAATTTCTTAAAAAAGTTTCGAATACCTAAACATAAAGTGTTTTTTCATTAAGACAACGCACAGTTGTCACAAGTTTGATGGTTACGAGGGCGAAAGTGCATGAAATGTAGTTCGGTTTGATTCGGCGCCGACTGCGCTCTTAAGATCTGTCCCCCGGCGGCTATTATTACTTTGTGAACCTCCAAAAGATGCTCCAGGGAAGAGATTTGGGTCATAAGAAAAATGTCATTAACGAAGCAGAGACCTTCTCTGAAGGCAGAGACAAATTGTTTTATAAAAAAGGTGTAGAAATGCTGTAGTAGCGTTGGACTGATTGCATCACTTTTAAAGGAGACTATGTTGGAATGCAATGTAATATTTTATAATAAGATGGTGTTAAGTAACTAGTCCCGGGACTTTTTAGAGGACGTGTTATAAGAGGGGGCTAGCGGAAATTGGAAACGAACTACGCAAAATAATCTAGATCATTAGCAAAGCTAAGTATTCTGCACTAGAGTATACTGAGCATCTGCACAATTTACTGATGGCTTACAAGCATCAAATCTTCCTTGCCTTCTCCTGTTTTACAATTATGTAGTCTTTATCCCAGTAGTTTTACCACCCCTTCTGGCTATTTGTTGTTCTTCAGCCCAGAAAAATTTAGTATTTTCTTTAGGTCCTACTTAAAGGTTCTAGTACATATACATTACTCAACATATACATACTTAAGTAATATAACATTTGTAGCAAACTGCACATTTTTTCCTAATATTTACAACGCTTCATATTTTTTAAAGCTTAACTTCGTTCAGTACTCAGAAACTTTTTTACTATTTCTAGCCACTAAACGGATATTTTACGATATAACATTTTTCAGTTTTAACCTTATATAAACTTTTCGTATTTGGTTGTAGCCATTTCAAAATGATTTCATTGAAACAGTCACCTACCTGGAGAGCATTTTCTATTCAGAGGAGAAACTGTTTATTGTGCTCTGTACCCCTTTCGCATAGTAAAAGCAATATGTCTCCTACTTTCCACGTCCAGCTTTTGCTGGTAAAACTCTTTGGCATAATCCAATGTGGTAAAAAATTTGCTAATTTTTGCCTTTAAATTAATCAAATTTATAAGTACGGTGTTTTTTTATAATTAATAATAAATTCTGTATTCGGTTTTCATTTCATCACATTCCCATAAAGGTCTCCAGTTTTAAGTTTTCCCTTTGGAGCATAGTTCAGCTCGGATTTGACCTCCACTACTTGCTTGTGATTCACTCGTTATCGTGTACTAGTACTAATCTCTCTTTACTTTTGAAAGTTTTTTAGATTTCCGTTCAAAACTATTAGCGTTAGCTTATATTTTGTCATATTAGTATATGAAAGAAGGCTAGATCTTCTTTTCGTCCCACTTCTCCGGACTCCAATTAAGTATTAAAATACACTCTGTCACTACTAAACGCCTTAACTTTCTTTTTAGACCCTTTTAGAAAAAATAGAAATCGTAAACGTTATTTTTATTTTGTCAAATTTTTGCTAGTAGCATTCATTCCAATGTTCTTTAATAGCTAGTTTGGTAAAGTCCTCTATCTCACATTCTTAATCTCTTTTCCCTAATAAATTTTCGAAGACATTTGAAGTATGTTTTTACTACATTGAGGCACAAGCAAACCCACATATCCTCCTACCCCTGAAGTTTAAGTGTAATAAAATTTTCACCGAAACTTGAGAATCACTGTTTTCATTATTATTAAATATAAAGTACTCACAGGCATTCTTATAAACAATGTAACTACTACCAGACATGGAAGCCAAAACAACTTTGCTTATAATAATAAGTCTTTATGATGCCATCTACAGTTAAACCTTTTACAAATAAACTTTAACGGGTTTTCGTAAAATAGCAAAGGTGGCCTTAGTGTACAAAATTTTAGATTGTTGTAACTAATTTTTATTCTTTCCCTAAGTTTAAAAACTTTAAATTATTACTTATAATAAACTTTATAAGTTCAGCTATAACATAGTGCTGACAATCTGCTTTAGTCTTTTAAAAACTTAATTTCTCAATTCACCCTCAACTATTAGAATTTTGTAATAATTTATTTGGTTAGTTTAAATACTCTTGGGTGCACCACACAAGTACTACAAAACCACAAAAATTATGAAAATATTGTGTTTTTTTTGTTTATAAAAGTCACTTGGTAGTGCTCAATCAGCACGTAAAGACCCAAGTTACGTGTTCTTAACAGAGTAATACCGTACAAATTAGATTTAAGCTTTTAACAAAGCAATCATATATTTATATACCCTTATTGTTATATACACAACCGTAACGCATTGTAAGGAAAGCAATAGCTTGCGCCACCCCACGCCAGCAACGATGGGGTGCTGAAAGATGGTCCGTAGGCGGAAGTGCTCTGAAATGTAGTAGAGGGCTAAATCTAATGGTCTTCAAGTAAAGAATCTTTCGAACAAACCTCGGCGCGCCCTCCATAGAGCGTCGCAGCTTGTTGTGTCTCACTCGAAGTGAAAAGGTTATCCTTGGTAAGTCGTAGGAAAAGACAGTAGACGGTATGTCGTAATTAGCAGAATTAACAGAACAGCATGACGTTAAGGATAAATACTTTGGGCCGCTGCCATGACCTTCACGGCAACATAGTTTATGCGTGGCCCACGAGAGTGGGCGATAATGACACCAAAGTATTCCTATTTAATGAAGATACCAAAGGATTACCCTGCCTCCAAAGATAAGCGGCAGCCGTGATGCAGTGGCGTCTTAGTAATAAGAGAGACTTTGCTTTTTTTCGTATTAATAATAATTCTTTAACGATAACAACTGCCATGCGTGGCAGGCTACCACTGCATAAGCTGGTGCAATAAAACCGGCGGCGTTAACGAGGCGTTATAGCCGTATCATCTGCAAAGGGGGCGATCCGCATGTGGAAGTGTTTTTGAGCTGTAGCACGTCGCGCACACAAACTGCGAAGTATAAGAATGATAGTAGAGTTTCTTGTAGAACACCGCAGTAAGTAGTTTTATAGTTTGCTATACATCGCCAACACATGTTGAAAAAACGCGCTCTAAAGGTTAGATTAAAAAACACAGTAGGGAAGGCTATGACGCGCAGTAATTAAGCAAAGCCTTGCGCTAAACTCAGTCAAACGCTTTTTCGATCTAAAAATACGACTTCGTTGCTTTATAAAATTGAAGGCACGGGTCGTACATTCTGTCAGAGGATGAACTTCATAAACAAACGCCTTTAAGAGGTGCATTATGGCAGCTTTCGGCATTTAGCCAACTGCTGGCAGGAAGCTAATAGGTCGGTATTTTTTTGGCTACAAACTGATTGTTGTTTTTTCCTGCCACCACCATTTGCTTCAGCAAACAATTGATAATAAATGGGCGTACATTAAACTCTACTATTATAGAAATACATACAGATAGGTTGAACAAAAATCTTAATGTTTATAAGATGTAATTTAAAAATTAAGAATTTTTATTATATAACTTTGACAGAAACCATTATATGTGTTATACAAACGAATTTTAATTTTATATGCATTATGCCGAGGTGCGTTCCGAAATAGGGTTTTTCTGAAACATATGCGCTACGATTAAATTTATTTGTCTTTAAAATACAAAGGACTATATTACGTACTTAATATCAAAGGGTCTCAGAGGAATATATCTAAGCCTTCTGGTTCTTCCTTGATGTATAAACGGATCTTAATACAGAAAGAAATTAACAATATTCGCGATGATTTGATTACGAGAAGGTACATATAATATATAATAAAAATAAGCTAACAACTCTCTTATTAATACTCTTGAAAATAACTTCTCTCAAACAAACAATAAAGATAAATCCTTATCCTACAGGTATTATAATTCAAAAAAAAAAAAAAATTATTATGAGACCGACCTATTACATTTCAGCTTATCATTAAAAAGTGTTTTTAGATTCGATAGTGGGAAGTATTTGGTGTGTGGTAGCAGGAAAAAATTTAAGGTAGAGCTAATATTGACTACATTTCATTTCACATTTCTAGAATTTTTTTTTTAATCTAATTTTTCAGCGAATGGCTTAATAACGACTAAACCTCTTAACTTTTTATCCTTTATATTTTTCTGAAGCAAACCTGCACTCGTAACCTGTAAATGAGTGAAAGCTAAAAAAAAAAGTATAACGCATGCTCAGTATTTGTGCAGGCAGGATAATTTTAGTAGTTCAGTACCCGTATAGTGTAATACGTAAAATTGTTAACAATAAAATCTAAGCAAAAAAAATATATAATTTTTTTTAAAAGAAAATGGCAACTATAAAAGGAAATAACGATGATATGAAACAGCGATTTTCGCCAGTATATACGATATATACTGGCGAAATCTGCAAAATTTTATTTAATCATATCAGGACTTTCTTCCAAAAAGGCTATTCGATTTTATTTTAAAGCAAAGTATAATCTTTAATATTTTTTAACATTTAAGTTAATTTCAGTCACCTGGAAGGTTTATGTACTTATATTTATTAAATATAAATATTAATCTAATTCCATTAGTAAAAGCTCAAAAAGTTGTGTTATTTCTTATGCTTAATTATTTGTTTAAAAGTTTCTTAGTTTGTGACCGTTATACTAAATATATCTTTTAAATTTTTTTTTTAAAAGCGAAAGAAGTAACTGTGTTTTAGCTTGTGCTTTGCCATTAAAATATATATACTAATTGATTCTATGATGTAATTTATAATTGTAATAACCAGCTCCAGCTTTCCTACTATGCACGTGTTTTTCTATTCACTTTTATTTGACTTTTGCAAGTTAATATACCGATCTTTACACCTGTAAGGGAGTGAGAGTTTTTTTTTTTATAATTTGGGGGTTATTGTTTTAGGACTCCTTACGTTTTTTTATTATGAATATAATTAAACTTTCTCTTTGCAACACCTCCTTATTACCTTTACGAAAATAGCGTTACCTGTCCAATTATAGTAAGCACGCATTCCCTTGAGGCTACGGTCAAGTCAAGTATAGAGATTTAATATATATAAAAAAACTTACTCCCCTGTGGTTGTTAACTAAAACGCTAAGTTATAAGAAAAGATTTATTGATTTAAATGCTAGCGTAGACGCTCTGCAATTATCTATAATAATAATAATCAAAAATGAGGTCTAAATACATGAAGTTATAAAACATATTTTCTCTTTATAATCTAATTCAATTGTGTGAAAGGTAAACACGGGTTTTTTAAGCATTTAAATTAAAAAAGAACTTCTAATTTTCTGTATGTTGAGTGAGACTTAATAAGGATAGTACAAATAATGGGCCTTCAACAACAATACTGAAGCACTTATCTTTGATTTAATATATAAAAGTTTATAATTATTAAAAAGCAGTATTTACTATAATTTTGAGCAGGACAGCTTATAACAATGGGACCGTTTTCATATTAAATTACCTAATACGTTTACTGTGTATGTTATTTATATTTTTTAGCGTCTAAATAACTTTTAACCAGGAGGAGTTAATTAAAATATTTAATAAATTGTCGTTCAAATTTTTCTCTCTCATTCTGCTTTTGTATATTGTTTTTAAACAGTAAATATCTTGAACGAAGAGTGAAAATATTAAACAAATATAATTCAAGCATTTCAGCGTTCCACATCGTTTACCATAGTATTGTTTTATGCATTAGAGCTTTTCATGTTGTATATTTAAAAAATCCAAACTTATTTAGTAATTAGAAGCTCCTTTTACAACTTTGTAGAGATTTTTGACGTACAAACGGGCTGAATTTATGTTGGAATCAAGATAGAGAAAGAAAAAAAATAAAATAGGTTGCTATAGCTAACAAAACTTGGAGTATTAAAGAAATCTTTAAATGTCAAACATGTCTTTTTGTAACTTTATCGCGTTAATAAAATTATTTAATAACTACTCTGTCATAGAGAAAAATATTTACAGAAGTTTTAACAAATGTTGGCCTTAAAACGTTCATTTCTCTAACTAATATATTATACACAATGAGAGTAACATTATATAAAATATATTCCAAATGAGTATTATATAGAGTTAGTTAGAATTGAGAAAAGTTGTATTAATAAAATGATCGCTCTCGAGCTGCCTGAGTAGCACAACGCTCACTCACCACCCGATAAACACTGACAACAACAACGACAGAAAAAATTGGCACACTATCTCCAGTGTTTAGTTAGGGTTGTGCCCTTAGACGATCAACCCTCAACTAATAAAAACACGTACAAATCTCTAGCAACTGCTAAATTTAGACTAATTCAAAACTGCTTAAATTAGTAAAAATAGTTGATGAGCAGAAAAGTTTCCACCCTAGAGATTGTTGTGTTTCGTATTATTACAGGTGAGTATGACTGACGATATATGTCCTGTTTGCAATAAACCTACAGGCACAATTACAGATAAGATTGTAGAATCTCAGCGTTACCAGTTGATTTTTATTTTTACCTATAAAAACAACTTTAAATATTCTTTTTACTATTAGTCTTCAGTGCTTCAATTGCAATCGCTGTAATAAGTACCTTCAGGACAAGTTTACAGTTGATCCACATAATGGAAAACTTATATGTAAAGAATGCTATTCCATTACCCAGAATAAAGTCGAAGGCCATCCAAGTGGATACAAAATTCAACGCCCGAAGTTGGAGGTGCAGGGTACACTAAAGTTGTAATTTATGTACTTGAGCCACTGCATTCTTTATATATATGTGTGAATGTTAAGGTCAGCATTGCAGTTATTGTGGAAAAATAGTGTATAAAGCAGAAGCGATAAAGGCTCTTGGAAAGCATTGGCACAAACTTTGGTACACTTGCTGCTTTTTATTGTGTCAATATTTTTAACTTTTTATTAATTCATAGTTTTAAATGCAATGTTTGTGGACAGCATTTGACTGTTTTGGATGCAGAATCTCACGATAATAAGCCTATTTGTAAAAAATGTACTAACGAAATACTGGGAGTAATCTACAACTCTCTCAGCGAGATACCAGAAGCACCAGTTATTGATACTTCAAAACCCATTCCTCTTTCTCGTAAATTTAATAAAAAATTTATAAAAAGTTTTTTAAAACTTTTTTTATCGCTCGGCGTTAGAATTAAAATTTACTGACAGAGAGTTACTAAGTAAGTCTGGAGTGGACATCACAAAGTTAGAGGTACTGTACTACTAAAGCAAATAAAAAATAAATTTTTTCTTTCCTTTTTATTTACTTTAGAGTTACCTTTCTGATGCAGATTTTCACGCTACCTTCAAATGTACTCGAGCTGAATTTTTTAAACATCCCAAATGGAAGCAAGAGCAATTAAAAAAAAGCGCTCGTTTATTTTAAAAAAAAAATAAATACAATAAAAATATTTTATTAAAACGGCCATCATCAAGCAGTTTATGTATAATAAAACATTACAGTTTTTCTATATTCGAGTTACGCTATAAATTAAAAAGATTGCAAGAAGTTGGTCTCTATTGGTGCGATCGCCCCTTTTTTACTAAAAAAATCACGAAACTCAAACGACTAGCAGATTTTTATTATTTAATTCTTTTAGCGGGTCTATTCATTGTTTTAGTTTTTATGATTGAAATCCTTTTTTTACATTGTACACTATTGCCTCAAAGTTTTTTACATTTTTTCACTTGATATAGAATAACTTTTCAATCCACGCAATGATTACTTATTTATACACAGTAAACTTCTATGTTCTAGCTACAATTCGTTAATACTTGATCTAAAACTGGTTTAATATTTGAAAAGAAATGAGCTTTTAAAAGTGGAAGATTATAGAAACAATTTGCACGGAGAAAAAAATTAATTTAATAAACGAGGTTTTAATAATTAGCATACCCCCTCTTACCAGAATCACTAGTTGTATCCTCTGGC